GATGTCGAGGAGAGGTGCAAGTTTCGGCTCTAACGCAGTAATTGACTCAGAATTATAAAGTGTCACGACGTGATGATATCAGGCGCTCGTCAATTTTAGAGCATATGGAGGCTTTGGTATCATCTTAAAGATTATTTATTTGCCTTGCTTTCGGTGAAAAAAAATATCCGCTTATCTTAAATAGAAGTTGATATATTCAAGTTTGAAGGAAGTGGGGTCGTCTGGTTTCAGAGGTAAAATTAGCGAGAAAATGGCCGCCAAAGTTTGGTGATTTCCAAAGCTCAAGATTCCTTGGAAACTGCAAATTTAAATTTGCTGCGTCTTTTATCAACATTGTTCCATAAAATCCATAGATAAATGTGTTTTTGAATGGACATGCAAGGTGTTGGGTCAAAAATAAAATTCGAAAAACATTTCCAAACTAGCCAAAAAAATGCCAATTTCTCGGATCTCATTATTTTGACGAGGGCAGGATTTCATCACGATGCCTCACTTAAATAATTGTTGACTTCATGCTACTCCACATGTTGTCTGGAGATGAGCTATTTAGATGTTGGAGTTGTTCTTTAACATGTTGTAGAAATGTTGCCTTTAACACCGGGTCTTTGGTATTTCTTATGTTGATCTTAAGTTTCTTTTGTTTTTCAGCTCTTGGTGTTTTCTTTGGGACAATCTTTGCCTTAGCTATAAATAAAAGGCTGTCTGTGTTGCAGTCTGCACTGTTGAAATATCTTGTTTGCTTTACCATATTGGTGTTTTTCTCTCTGAACATGATGATGTCGATTTAGTGCCAATGGCCTAATCTTGGATGGTGCCAAGAAGCCTTATTATTGTCCTTGCCACTGTAGAAGGTGTTAGCGATGCAAAGGTTGTTATTTGTACAGAATTCCTGACTAAATGCCTGGGCCTGAATAATATTAATAATAATAATAATAATGATAATAATAATAATAATAATAATAATAATAATAATAATATAATAACACACTGTAATAATAATAATATTAATAATAATTAATAATGTAATAACACACTGTAATAATAATAAAAATAATAATAATAATAATAATAATAATTATAATTATAATGATGATGATGATGATAATAATAATAATAATAATAATAATAATAATGAAAACAATAATAATAATGATGATGTTAATGATAATAATACTAATGGTGATGAGGATAATGGCAATGGAATGACAATATTTATTTATCTCGCGGGGAGCTATTTGTCTTGGTCGGTCACAGTGGCAGTGGCGCAACAAAGGCCAGGTACATTCACCTGTACACACAACTGGAAAAGGTTAAATACATAGAATTCAAATTACCCTGTTTGTAAACCTTCTCTCTCTCTCTCTCTCTCTCTCTCTCTCTCTCTCTCTCTATCTCTCTCTTTCTCTCTCTCTCTCTTTCTCTGTAAGTGAGTGTGTGTGTATGTGTGTGTGTGTGTGTGTGTGTGTGTGTGTGTGTGTGTGTGTGTGTGTGTGTGTGTGTTTATTTTTACTTTTAAATTGTATTACAAAAATCTAATAGTATTAGAAAAATCTACCAGACAAATATAGAGCAAACTGAACAATAAATAAATAACATTGTAAAGAAAACCAGCCTGCTACAACTTGTTTACTTTCGTATGCCCTACTCAACAAAATTCTAGCTCAATAGTTGATTACCTATGACCACGAAATTTTGCGTGGCCATTCTGTAGACCAACAACTGGACAAAAATATATTTGTTCAAAATCCTGATCTACAAATAATTTGGTTAAACTTCTCTATTTGGGCCCTATATTAAAAAACACGCTTTGCTTGTATACACAAGAATTGGCGGGTGTCTAAAGTGTAGCGGATAGGCTCTTGGCCGTTGCATGAGTATAGCGTTTGTGAATCATGAGCAGTAAAATTTTGAAAGGCGTATAACGCCATCTATTTTCTTTGATGTTTTATCTTTCCAGGTCTATGTTAGCCCTGACTTTCAGGTTGGAGAAGGCTGTCTCTTTAAGGGAGGCTGGGGGGGGGGGGGGGGGGGGAACTGCACCCCAAAAGTCCTGATTCGGCTCAAATTTATAGAATTTGAGTTGTACGCATTCTTACCTGTTCAGCCTCTCCTACAACTATTTCATCGCATCAGAACCCCTAAAAGCCTTATTTCTTCCCATACCGGGCATGTTTTTCACCACCATTTCCTCATAAAGTTTTTTTTTCTTTATCGGCCGTTTTCTCAAAACACGATTTTTAAAATAACTCCATTATTTTTTAAATCCAATCTTCATACAATTCACAGAATGAAAAGAAGATGTAATACAAAAAAAATTGTTAATATTTTTGAAATATGAAATATATTTTTGTTGGTAGTGTGTGGAGTGTGGATGTTTACGGATTTTTTGCTAACTTGAATATTACCTCAGGAAAAAGTTTATACAACATTTTCTAATTCATTTAGGGAAACATCACATGACAATTTTTTAAATCTAATGTTTGTTAATATGTATGCAAAAAAAACAACCCCCCCAAAAAAAATCAATATCCATGAACAATAAGTACAGTATTCATTACGTAAGACATGGAAACGAAACTTTTCTGTCAACTTTGGTTGCAGGTTTTAAGACTCCTTACTGCGATTCTTAAAAGTGTGAAATGTGGTCAAACTTGATCAACTAATAAGCGAGATAACCTTCCGGTGTAGCCCCACCCCCTAAACCTATTATATATTTGGCAACTTGGAAACACATGTGTCACTTTTCCCATAAAACTTCGACAGCTACCGAGTTGAAAGTTTGACAAGTACCTGCAAAAAGATAGATAAGTCCCTATGACGCAGCCCGATTTTTTATATATTCATTTCCTGAATTAAGAAAAATATATTATTTGGCAAAAAGAAAGCAAATCTGCGTAGCTGTCCTCCACAGCCGAAGTTCCGGAAGTGATATTTCACGAGGCGCATTTTGTTTTGAGAGTATATATCTAGACCTAATTTTTGCATCTCTCAAGATTTTTTGCACCATTCTAGTAGAGTGTAAATAATGCACCGATCATTCCTTTCATCGAGAGGGGGCCCATCTAGTATAATAAGCGATAACCCCAGTTTAGATAGTGTCACCACAAAATACCATTTTTAGGACCCACCACCCAATAAATTCCTTCAAACACCACTTTAAGGTACATGTATGCACACATGCTTTTTTGGAAATTGTACAGAAAATGTCAAGGAAATTTAATAAGCGATAACCTCAGTTTTCATAATTTTAGGGGCCCCAGCTCCTCTTTGGTTTTAAGATGCGGTGAAATCGGGTTTTTGTTGGGCAAATAGAGTTATTGATATAATCTTAAATCTTGTTCATTGTTCTTGCATTTGGCGAAAAAAAATACCGATCTTTACTGAATTGAAGTCGAGATACTTGCAATTGAATGAGGTGGGGGTCACCTGGTGTGAGATGCACAATTAGTGAGAAAAAGGCCGCCAAAGTTTGGTGATTTTCAAAGCTTGAGTGTTCTTGGAAACTGGAAATTTACTTTTTTTGGTGGTAACTTTTATCTGCTTTTTCTCAGTAATATCCACACAGAAATATCACGCGTCGGTGGCCTAGTGGTTAGGCTCTGTCTCGCAACCGTAAGGTCGTGGGTTCGAATCCCGTCATGAGCCCGACGTTGTGTCCTTTGAAAAGGCACTTTTCACAAATTTTCCTCTCTTCACCCAGGTGGAAACGGGTACCTGGCTTTAGACAGTGAACGATCTTGTCAGTTTGACAGTGTTTGAGCGCATGAAATCCACAGCTTGCACTGTATGCTTCCGCGGAAGCCGAGGATTTTTCTGAGTGTTCTCAGAGGGTCTGCTTGGGTAATAATAGTTGAAAAGCGCACAGAGCATTCTCTTGAGCATGGATATGCGCTATATCAATGCAATTATTATTATTATTATTATTATTATTATTATTATTATTATTATTATTATTATTATTATTATTATTGTTATTATTATTATTATTATTATTATTACTATTATTATTATTATTATTATTATTATTATTATTATTATTATAATTATTATCAATATTATTATCATTATTATTATTATACGTTTTTAAAAGGACATAAAAAAGTTGAGACCGGAGCAAAAAAATCGGACAGCTGTTCAGATGTACTACGCTCGGCAAGCTGCGGTTTTTATTTTTTGAATTGCTATCTCAAAATCTTCGGTATCCGGTCCATGCGTCTGGAAAAATTGTGTGTGTGTCGAAACTCAAATTCTAAATGTGGATACAAGTAAAAACCAAAAAAAAAAAAAAAAGAAAAAGAAAAAAAGATACATAATTTAGGTTAAGTACAATTCTTCTTTTTAACTTGTCTCCTGACTATGGGCTTGATACAGTAGAAAAGCCTGCCTATGAAATGCAATTAAACGTAATAGACAGAGAGGAAATAATGATATTTACTTTTTTATTATTAAGAGAACAATACTGGATATGTCTTTACCTTAGAATTACAAAGTTCTGTCTGAAAATTTTGGCCGGTTTAAGTTACTAAGACCATGAGGTCAGAACCTAATTTCTGTCTACTCTACCAAAATCAAAAGAAAATTGGCAGTCGTTATCAAGATATTATTATCCAAAGAACTACTTTAAAGAAAGCTTGACATGTTGTGAAACCTCAAAACTAGGTTTTGGGCCGATAGAACTTTGTAATACAATCCTTTCTCTAACAAGATACTCGTACTTTGCAGCACTTAAAGACTTTTGTTAAAAACGATACAATGTTTCTTTACGAAAGACCTGCAGCACTAAATTTTTTATCTCCAGAAAAAAGCAGAAATAAAACCAAAAATAATCTACTCGCGGCAGTGACTCGATTACTGACCTTATAAGGGAAGATAGCAGCATTACCCCACATGTTAAAAGATCTTACAAAAAAAAGAAAATTCATACGCGTTTCCAGATTGGTGCCAGTTTTGCCTAGGTAGTGACGTTGGCCTCTGTTGAAAAGATAACATCCGCCTAAAAGATTATTTTAGAAGCGTTCGCAGTTTGTGGAAATCATTACTCCAAAGAACACGTCAGGATGTTGAGCTCTCTCTGGAAGACGGTGTGTGTGTCTCTGCTTGTGGCGGCCGTTGTACAAGACTGTACAGCAAAAGGCATCAAGGATGCGAAGAAGTCCAAGATGACCGGTGCCTCTCTCAAGAGGTAAGACTCGCATTGATTGTGTTTGCACCTGTTGATCGTATGAATTGCTGACCAGAAGTTCCAATGAGTTTTGTTAGTTTGTTTTGTTTTTGTAAAGTGTTTTACGGTGCTCGCAACTGCATAAGGTCATATGAGCGCGCGGGACACACCTAATATTTTCAGTTGTTACGAAAAATTGAATTTTGCCCGGGTGGCGGCCGAAGCCTACTCTTGTCGATTTTAGACCACCAAGGGATCTTTAACGTGCGCAACTTGCACACGGGCCCTCCGAGATTTTTCGCCTTTGTCCGAGAAGGCTAGGTGTAGATCTTTCCTACCAGAAGATCAGGGGTGTGGCAGAAAGACAGCAGTTAGGAGGAGCCAAGGAGTAGCAGTAGAAAGGCGGCAGAAAGAGTCAGGAGCCCAGATGAGGGGGCAAAGGAGGTGAGGGGGTGGGGGCAGAAAGTGGAAATGAAAGCAGACAACAGAACATTGTTAGAGATCAGGAAAGGATGTGAAAGGAGACAATTTTAGAGAAGAAAATGTTTTGGTCGCTACACGGAATCGAACCCGGAACATTTGAATGAGAGGCCAACACCTTAACCTCTAGGCCACGAGAGCCCCCCCCCCCTCCCCCAATGAGTTTGGCTTTAATGAGTTTTACGGCACTTGCAGAACGAATAGGTAATATTATAGGTCGCGAAGATTAGAAGTGTTACTAGACAGTAACTTACGTTGTTTTTTTTTTAAAAGGACGACAGATGTGAAATATAACTGTTTGATAGGACACTCGCACAAAGACCTGTATTTAACTAACAAACACAAACACGCAAACACCTACACACATTCATACACACACACAAACACACACACGCACAAACACACACACGCACAGACACATATGCATTGAGTAACAAGTACACGTGGAATTGCAATACATGAACACAATGATGTAGACAGTAAAATCGGTGAACACACTTAGACATCACAGAAATATTACCAAAATTGAAAGCATAATAATAATAATAATAATAATAATAATAATAATAATAATAATAATAATACTACTAATACTAATAATAATAATAATAATAATAATAATAACAATAATACAGATTAAAAAATAATGATAAAATATGATAAAAATGATAATAATAATAATGATATTAATAATGATAATAAGAATAAAGATTTTTTAAAAAAATAATGAATAAATATAATAAAAATGACAACAATAATAATGATATTAATTATAATATGATAATAATAATAATAATGATAATGATAATAATAAGAATAAGAAGAAGAAGAATGATAACAATACCTACCACTAATAGTAATCATAATAACGATAATAGTAAGGATAATAACGATGATAAAAAATAAAAGAATAATAATAATAATAATAATAATAATAATAAAGATGGTAATAATAATAATAATAATAATAATAATAATAATAATAATAATAATAATAATAATAATGATGATGATGATGATGATGATGATGATGATGATGATGATGATGATGATGATGATGATGATGATGGTGATGATGGTGATGATGGTGATGATAACGAAAACAATGACAAAACAAATAATAATGCAGACTATTTCTATAGCACTACTGTACAAAACAGCTCAAGGCGCTTTACAACACCTTCATCCCAACAAAACACAAGCACACAATTCTATGGACGCGCATACATACGCTCTGTAGATTAACGCTAACATAAATAAGCAGACGTTCACACTATTATATCACATTCAATAACGATATACACATTAGTTGTGAACATAAAAGCTCTAAGAATAAGGCTGACTAAAAATTGAGATAGCCTTGTACACAATAATTTAAAGTAATTTTAAATTTTGCTCCTAACTTTGTAACCTTCGGAAGTGTGGGAGAGAGCTGCATCCAATGATCACGGAAATCAAAAGTTAGCGGAGAAGAGGCTTTTGTGCTGGAATCGTCGAGGAACATAGATAGATAGATAGATAGATAGATAGATAGATAGATAGATAGATAGACAGATAGATAGATAGATAGATAGATAGATAGATAGATAGATAGATAGATAGATAGATAGATAGATAGATAGATAGATAAAGAGATAGAAAGAGAGAGAGGGAGAGAAAGAGAGAGAGAGAGAGAACGTGTGTGTGTGTGTGTGTGTGTCTGCGTGTGTGTGTGTGTGTGTGTGTGTGTGTGTGTGTGTGTGTGAGAGAGAGAGAGAGAGAGAGAGAGAGAGAGAGAGAGAGAGAGAGAGAGAGAGAGAGACGCAATGAGCCACACAGACAGTTAGTAGCAAGAAAGAGGACAAAAGCAGTTTGATTAAAAAAAGAAGGTACGTGTTTGAGGGAAAGATGTTGGGTTTGGGGGGAGGGGGGAGGGTGCCCAAGTTCTGAGTTTGAATCATTGCTCCGGTGAGGCACCGTGGTGAAGCCAAGGGTTCGAAAAAAATAACAGATCGAAGAAAACGGCCAGTTTGGCAGTTTTAGCGAATTTCCATTTCGGGGCTAAACACTTTTTCATGTTTATTTAGAAATACATTTCTATGTGAATTTTACTGGAAAAGACGTTGATTAAAAGCACAAAAGATGTAAATTTTCATTTCCTAAGGACTCTCAAGCTGTTGATGTGACCAAACGTTTGTGCCATTTTCTCCAAAATTGTACTTATGAACCAGGTGACTCCCACCTCAATCAAGCGGAACTATCTCAACAAGAACAACAATAACAAAAACAAAAACAGACTAAAAAAGACGTGAATGAAAGAAAAATATATTGAATACCAACTGTTTTAAACCTCAACCTGAACGGGAACCACAATGTCTCTGAAAAATAGTGTGATAATGTTGAAATGAGCCTTAAACACATTTGGCCTATTCGACCACCGTATGCTAAATTTGTTATGGTTGATAAGATCGATGACTTCAGACCGACAGCCGGTGTTGCTATTTGCTTACACAGTCGACTATTTCGAAGACAGTTAATGTGTGAACTTATCTTCCATAGGGCAGTAAGCTGTCAAAGCGACGAATTCGCCTGTACTGACAGATGCATCGATTCTGCTTGGCACTGCGATAGCGAAACCGATTGCCCGGACGGTTCTGACGAATCGGGCTGCCCTACTGGCTGCTCTGGATCCAACAAGATCAGCTGTGCCAACGGGCAATGTGTCCCAGCAGCCTACGCGTGTGATGGAGACGACGACTGCGGAGATCTCACAGACGAGGTTACCTTTTATACTTACTTTTACTTTTTATCTTTTCATACTCTTTTGCCATTAAGCGTCACGCGGAGATACAGTTTGATACGGTAGGCCAGCTCTGCGGCTATTTCGATTGAGATGCCGTAGTTTCTCAGGCTTCCCTTGACTCCCTTTTTCCATCTTACGTGTGGTCTGCCTTTAGCACTTACATTTACTTTTTATCCTTTCATATTCTGTTGCCATTACGCGTCGAGGGAAAATAACGTGTATTATATAAGGCCAACTCTTCGCCATTTAGATTGAGATGCTGTATCTTCTCAATGTTCATTTGACTTCCTCAATCCATCTTTTGCGTGATCTAGCTTTTCCTATGAGGTAGAGTACTTAGTGTCTATGGACCCGTTTTGACCTTGTTTTGTTGTTTTCTATTAGCATGAATGTTCAGGGGACTATGATTTTAGCAGAATTCCATTACTTATTGATGTACTTATTCCCATGTCAAATTTCTCAGAGCTGTTATTGAGTCCGATAGAGTGACTTCTGGGTTTTTTTAGGTTTGGTTGGTAAGACACTGTTCATCTGCAAACATAAATTCATTCAGAGCTTTGGATTGCGCCTTGAATAAAAATATTGTATGTATCCTTATAGATTAAGAAATGGGAGAGAGGTAAACCACAGCAGTGTCATACTCCTTATGTTACTTCGGACCAGTTTTTGTTCTTACTGTGCATCTGCTGTTGGTGTATAACGCTCTTACGTTGTCCAATTACTGTTCTTTGGCGCCATCTTGGTTAAGGCAAGGACTAATAGATTTTAGTATTTTTGCTGTTCAAGACAACAGTGTCTTGAAACATGATTACAGTGACATTGAAGATCATATAAAAAACATGTTGGAAGAATTTTTTAACGTTCGCAAAAAATGTGGTCACCATGGCGGCCTACTTGAATTTTTTATGATTTCAGATTTTCACATTTCTAAAAACGCTATTCAAGATACAGGCCTCAGATTTGCAGTGTACATACTGAACAAACTGGGATGTGTCATAATGAAAAGAAAACATGATATTAAAGACTATTTTATTCGTAGTTTGAAAAAACCCCAAAAAACACATTAAATAAAAAACACTCTGCTAACACAACCAAGAATTTCGTCAAATTCAAATACAATATGCTCAAAATCTCTTCATAATGTCATTTAGACCCCATTTCTACCCGTCCTTGCAAAATATCATATAAATATCTTGAAATATAACTTGGCATTTGGAGAAAAACTTAAGAGACTCATGCTGAAAATGTCAAAAGGGAGAAATGCATTGAAATGACTGCATCATCTGCTCTTACGGAAATTCCCTAATCTATTTGGCAGGATCTGGTGACCTATTTCAACGGTATTGTCCTTTATATTTTGGCCTAAATGGCAAGCATTTATACTATCTACATCTTCATTTTCTCAACACTCGTATTTCTAGGCGTACTTTTGAACCGCAATGTTACCTATAGCATTTGTTGCGACGCCATTTCCTACTGGGGAAGAGAGGAGATTTTACACAAAGTTTACCCCCTGCCCATTTTACAGTCTTCATTACTGGCAACGTTTCTACATGGTCATTGGACAGGCGCGGTTCGTCCATAGAGCACCGTCGTGCAGTGCCGCCCAAAAGTTTTAAACTTTCTATTACGTAAAGCACTCACAAACATAAAACAAAAGAAGCAAGAAACAAGCGCTAGCCAAATATGATATCAAAACAAGGTCCTCGCTGGCGCCGTAACTGTCATTTCCGTGTCTATATCGCCGCAAAACATCTACTATGACATGCCAAAGTCCACACGCTTTAACTAAGCACAATAGGATAATTATTCAACACTTGGTAACCTGACCTGTAAATCTCTCTTTGGGATAACCCTAGCGATGACGACACTGGTAGCGAGTTTGGCAGTACATTAATATTAATAAGCCGGCACATCTCAAATGTGCTCCTGCCGAATAGTTCCGAAACATAGCCCACAGTAGGCAGTCTAAAAATAAACGCGATAGACTGTACGCTATTCAATGCTAAAAGTATGTGAGCCTCGGAGCAATCCAGCGGAGTGCTCAAGTGAATTATGATTTGTTCATCGTCTTGCCGCTATTTTAAGTGACTCTGTGACCGTGAACTTGAGGGAGGTGAACGTGACATACTTAAGTCCCCGTCCTATGGGCTGTGCCTTTGAATGGTTTTGTAGTGGAGTGGTGAAAGTTACTATGTACTGGAGTGTTCAGTTCTCATGCTGGGTGAACGAATTTGATGTTTAGCTAACAAACAGATTTAGTTCTAGAAATCAAAGCAACAAGTAAAACGAATTAAAATAAAAGCATGAGGTCCTCCTTCACCAACCCAATGATCCTGAAATTATACACCATCCAATTTACTTTGCGCTTGACTGTCTTCAGTCTAAAATAGCTTAATTGTGCACGCCCACTTTTTAGCCCCACGAGCAGCCCCTGTCAATGGAATACAATAAGAGTTTCCGAAATTTAAGAGGGACTGGCCGCAGAAAAATCAGTTTATTGTGTATCTGAACTTAGCTTTTGTATTGTACAGTTTCCATTTTCAAATTTCCATATACTCAGTTTCCAGCAAGATCGATATATTATTTTCTTCTGAGGTTCACCCCAGAAAGCACTCCCTTCTATGAACTATTCTAGTCTAGATAATGTTACCAATATTGGCCCACAGCCGTCTGTGATAATTTTATTTTTTGGTGTTTTACTCTACTCGCAACTGCATAAGGTCATATGATCATATGAGCGAGCGGGAGATATTTTCAGATAGTAGGAAATTTGGAATTTTGGCCGGGTGGCGGCCGAAGCCTACTCTTATTGATTTTGGACCAAGAAGGAGTCTTGAACATGCACAACCTGCACACACGCCCTCCGCGATTTTTCGCCCTTTTCCGAGAAGGCTAGGTGTAGATCTTTCCTACTAGAAGATCAGGGGTATGGCTGAAAGAAAGCAGTAGGGAGGAGCCAAGGAGAAGCAATAGAAAGGCTGCAGAAAGAGTGAGGAGCCCAGAGGAGGGGGTAAAGAAGGTGAAGGGGTGGGGACAGAAAGTGGAGACGAAAGCAGAAAAACAGAATATGGCTAGAGAGCAGAAAGAAGGGGAAAAAGACAATTTTAGAGAAAATTTTTTTTCCGTCGCTACCCGTATTCGAACCCCATAACATTGAATGCGAGGCGAACACCTTAACCTCTAGGCCACGAGAGCCCCTCTGAGATAAATATTGACAAATACAACTGGTATACATGTATACATGCACGCATGCTTGCATGTACATAATTAGTTATATCCTAGAACGCAATTTCATTAATAGATAACGGATATCTGTCTACTCATAATATCATCCTTTTATGACTCCAGACTTTTTTTCTGTTTCCTTTCTCTGTTTTTTCCATTTGCACAGGAGATTGTGGTTTATCGGTCAGATAGGCTATTTGCCATGTCAATCAGAAAACATCTGTTTAATTCCTATGGGGAGTTTTTCATCGAACGTCTTCAACTGTCTGAAGGGTTGTTTTACCCTTTTCAGCCCAGGTTAGCAGTGGCAGACATGAATCCCAAAAATGTCAAATACCTTGTTTGGGGCACAAAATGTATACAGTTCCAATTCATTTCTTTTGTTCTGTTTTTCTACTCATTTTCCTTTACTACATTCTTTAGTTTAGGATTTATTGACTGAATGTTATTAATTGAAGCGTGCTCTGTAATACATTAATGAGTAGTTAAAAAAAAATTAAAACATGTTCTAAAATTTCATCCAAACAGAGAAACTGTGCTGCCGTTACTTGTCAAGGTCACCAGTTCAGGTGTAATATTTCCGGTTTTGGGTGCATCCCTGACAGTTGGAAGTGCGATGGGGATAACGATTGTGGAGACAACTCGGACGAGATAGGATGTTCCGGTTCATGTTCAGCCAATCGTTTCCAGTGTGCCAACACAGTCTGCGTTTACAGTTCCTATATTTGTGACGGGGACGATGACTGTGGAGACAACAGCGACGAAACAGGCTGTACTTGTAGCTCTAATGAATTCACCTGCAAGTCAGGCGCTTGTATTCCAAAAAAATACCAATGCGATGGGGAGTTTGACTGCAACGATAACTCTGACGAGAGGAGCTGCCCAGACATCCACCCAGGGGCGTGTGGCGACAAGTTGACCCTTGCCGACTGTATTCACATGAACAGCACCACATACCCCATCTGCCAATTCGAAGACGACGCCTTCAAATACTGTAGAGAGTTCTGCGGTCTGTGCGACCAGAGCTAATTTAGGTGACCGATAGGAACATGGCTACAGTCCATTTTATGTTCGAGGGCTGGCCATGACTCTGAACTTCTTAGTTTGATTTTTTAGTCATCCCTCCCCGCACCCCTCTTTTATTTAGAAATAAATAAAAATCCAAAATAAGAAGCAAATCTATCTCCCTATAACGTGAACAGGGCACAGTGTCCAGGAATGCGCATATTGTTTAGATTATTTTTCATTCCTTTTCAAAATAGTATCAAAGATTTTAAATTGACCACACATAATATGCACTCTGCGTTGCAGACCTTTTTGCACACACGCCATAACTCATGAAACACCAATAAAACAATACCAATAATTTACATCGTTCTTGAAGTTTCTGTGATTTCTATTGTTTTGTTGTGTGTTTATGACTATCAGAAATGGAGTTCAGGTATTCAAGATGAAGATACGTAATATATTCTGCAATCAATACAATATAATTTTTTTCTCTATGAAGGTAAATGTCTGGAGCAATCAATAAATAGTTAGTTAAAATTGATAGTACAAACACCCTTTGAACAGTGCTTATATATTAAAAAAGAAAAAAAAGTTAAACACCAGAACTTGGCTTGCGTGTCGTTCTGTTTACTTTTTTTCAGTATTAATGTGGCGCATTGATGTTGGGATATTATAGAGAAAATAAATCTGATTTCTTTCTGTAAAGGACGTTAACACAGAAATGTAAAGGGTATTTAATCCAACCACTCTAGTTTTCAGACCCAATTCAATACTACTACTACTACTACTACTACTACTACTACTACTACTACTACTACTACTACTACTACTACTACTACTACTACTACTACTACTACTACTACTACTACTACTACTACTACTACTACTACTACTAATAATAATAGTAATAATAGTAGTAATAATGATAATAATAATAATAACAATACTACTTATAATAATAATGATAATAATAATGATGATGATGGTAATAATAATAATAATAATAATAATAATAATAATAATAATAATAATAATAATAATAATAATAATAATAATAACAACAATGATGATAATTAGGATAATAATATAAATAGTAATAATAATAATAATGATAACAGTGTAGCTTTAGCATGATTTTACGGTACTTGCAACACAATAAGGTCAAATAAATGCAGAAGATTAGAGTGTTACAAGAGAGTAACAAACACAAAAGAGAAGGAAGAGACATCAGGACGATAGATGTTTGATGGGAAAGAAGGAGCAAACCACACCAGAGAACCCGCCAACCATCCGTTAGTGATAATGATAATGATAGTAATATCATTAATGATAACAACAACTACAACAACAGTAATACTAAAACTACTAATAATACTACTAATAAAAAAATTATAATGATAATAATAATAGTAATAACAAAAATAATAACTATAATAATACAAATAATGATGATGATGATGATGATGATGATGATGATGATGATGATGATGATGATGATGATGATAATAACTATAATAATAACAACAACAACAACAATAATAATAATAATAATAATAATAATAATAATAATAATAATAATATTAATAACAATAATAACAATAATAATAATAACAATAATAACAATAATAACAACAAAAATAATCAAAATAGCACTTACTTGTTTTTATATTACAACGCATAGTCAATCTCTACAACATGCTCTATGCGCTTTACAATCATCGATACTCAAGCAAACCCTAGAGCAATAAGAAACATTCTCAGCTTCCAGGGAAGCATGCACCGCAAAGATGCGGATTACATCCGCTCAAACACTTACGAGCTGACAAGGTTTTTTGCTGTTGATTTGCAAGTGAAATGCCTTTCCCAAAGATACAACGTCGGACTCCTGACGGGATTCGAACCCACAACTTTACACTCATGCAGACCTGAAAGGCCGAACAAAAACACATTCCAGCAAGTGACAATCTATGCTGTAAGAAAAACCAGCAGTGGTGCTCTGCAAAGCCTCATTGGACATAACTTTTTTCTTGGAGATCTTTGAACTTTTGAAGGGATACCTCTGCCCGTTTTATGAGATAAACCCAAAGAGAAGAATAACACCAAGAATAACACCAACACCAACCCAGCCTTGGTCCAGGTATCAAGACTGATGTCAAAAAAGAAAACCACAAAGCGTTGTACTACGCACTCATGCAGGATACCAGCAGTAAGGAGGAGCTAAGGAGTAGCAGTAGAAAGGCTGCAGAAAGAGTCAGGAGCCCAGAGGAGGGGGCAAAGGAGGTGAGGGGGTGGGGGCAGAAAGTGGAAATGAAAGCAGACAACAGAACATTGCTAGAGAGCAGGAAAGGAGGTGAAAGGAGACAATTTTAGAGAAGAAAATTTTTCGGTCGCTACCCGGATTCGAACCCGGGACCTTTGAATGAGAGGGCAGCACCTTATCCTCTAGGCCACGAGAGCCCCCTTCCTGATTTACGCCGGAGGGTAAAAGTTCCTCAGACGTTTCAGTTATTATGTGAATTGACATGGAGCAGGAGTTAATGGTGCACTGTGACTGCTGACGGTACCACACCCTAATTTCGATCATACTTAACACCGAGGTACATCATGGCTCTGTCTTTGATGGTCAAGTTTCATCAAAGTCAGCGGAGGTGACTGGGGAAGACTTCTCCGGGGAGGAAGTGGAAGGACCTTTGACGCGCGGACGAAGGAGACTGAAACTGTTTACAACATGATGATAAAAAGAGTTCAGCTCTGTCCTGATATCCCCCACCAACACCCACGTTGGAACAGTAAAGTTAGGCTGGAGAACACATTCCTGGGAAGCACCCAAAGTACGTGGAGTCATCCGCAAGGGGAACAAGATCCGCCGAGAAATAAAAACCCGCCGAAGAGAGCGGCCAAATGTATGCCAAGAAGCACAGGTGGAGCTACCAGAACGGCCAAAATAGACGTGTGGCGAAACCTATTGAAAAATGAAATGTTTCTGAGTGTTCTAGGGTCTCATGATGTATTAATACGGATTGTGAAGTTCATCTGGCTTGTTTTGAGCTAGGATATACGCTGTTCAAATGCTTTTTGCCATTTTTCTTCCTTCTACTTCCCTTTTCCATCTTCCTTCTTCTCCTTTTATCTTTCTCCTTCCTTCCACACCTCCTCCTCCTCCGCCTCCTAATCGTCCTCCTCTTCCTAATCCTCCTCCTATTCTTCTTCTTCTTCTTCTTCTTCTTCTTCTTCTTCTTCTTCTTCTTCTTCTTCTTCTTCTTCTTCTTCTTCTTCTTCT